CAGTAATTTTGCGTTAAATTATTTTAACGCGTTAAGGATTGTAATATTAATCGCATGCGTTAACACGTTAATGCTGACAGCCCTAATTTTAAAACATATTAAAATAGAAAAGAGTTGTTTTTACTGTATTTTTAACCAAAGAAATGCAGCCTTAGTGAACAGACTTCTTTCAAAGACATTTTAAAAAACTTGCCGACCCCAAACTTTTGAATGGCAGTCTTTAAAATTTATTTTGTAAGTATGACTTTTAAAAAAATTATTTTAAAGGCTTTTGTGCTTGCCACTTGGTAAAAATAAAGATAAAAATGTAAATATGTAAGGAATATTTCCCGCTGATAAAGTCTGAGTAACTGATCATTTTAAAATAAGATAAGTACATTCTTTATATAAACCGTGAGGATGCACCACCAAAGACAACAAGATAGCAAAATTACTTCCTTGAAGTGACCACTTCGTACTTTCATGTAACGTGACATGTGTCCCTCCCACAGTTCCCTTCAAGAGTGCAAAAATGGAGTTCACTCACAGACTAAAGAGACCACATGCCCTCACCTGAGATGGGTCACAACCTCATCTATATGGGTGATGTTTAACTTGTGTCTTAAGGCCTTGATTTCTTCTTCACAGCTGGAGTGAGACGAGAGGCTGGAGGCAGATCTGGAAAAAAAGTATTATTCAATACTTACTAACCCAATCAATATTATAAATATTATTCATGTAGAATTACACTCACAGATATATATTTCTGAAACTGACCTGCTGCCAATCTCACTCAGACTTGATGGGGGTCTGGAGGGTGATTTAATTTCACACCAGCTGCCTGGACTCTCCTGTCTCTGTGTGCTACTGCTGCCCAGTGCGTAACTCACCACACTAGGATTGTACTGGGCCATGACCTCCTCTTCATCCCTGAGACACATTTACTGACAGTGAGAATGGCAGAATGGTGAAGGTAGACAGTGCTAGCACAGTTTCACTGTGATCATCTACCATGGTGACTCCCAACCAGGGGTATTTTGCCTTGTTAAACCTATAAAACAGAAACTTTGACTTAATTGGATTTCATTTATAAATAAATGTACTGTTAGGTCTTTCTCAAGAGACGCGTGAAAGGCAAAATAGCTCAGGTGTCTCATTAAATAGAGAAGCTATCTGGAGAGTCTCTTTCTTCACAGTATGTTTTTTTTAAGAGTGCACTAAAACTGAACAAAGAAGCTGAATTATAGCCAGAATAATATCAATTAAGAGGAACACATTTCTGGTTTGGTGTCAATGATCGGGTACTTAAGCCTTATTGATGGAGCTACAAGGGTCCCTGTAGCTATATGTGCCTTCAACACATAAAGTTGGGACACACTGATTTAGCATGCTGGTTTTACTTACTTCAAAGAGTTCAGAATTTCTTGGAAGACACAACATTATTTATTCAAGACCCCATAGGTCAATTCAAAACACAGCTGTTGTTGTACAGTGGAGAAAATCAGGCAATTAATACCGCGTAATAAACTTTGGCCTCTGGCACTTAAAAAGAACTACACTACAATAAATAGAACAAGTGAAAGTACTCTATTATAAGAAAATAGTTTTGGGTAAAATGCCTAAAGGAATAATAGATGAAGATAAATACACTATTCTTTGAAGTTTGGGTTGCTATTTGATCAAAAACACAGTAAAAACTGCAACACTGTGAAATAGTATTAAAATTTTAAATAACTGTTTTCTGTTTTATCATTCTAATCATTCTAATATGCTGGTTTGGTCCTCAAGAAATATTTCTTATTATCAATGTTGAAAACAGTTGTGCTTTTTAAAACATTTGATATTTTGTGAACAGCATTTCTATAAATTTCTTGTAATAAATGTATTAGTTGTCTCATTTGATCAATTTAATGTGTCTTTGCTAAATAATATGAAATTAAATTATTTAGACTTATTATTGTACAGATTCTTGCTTTGGCTAGAGTATTTATGAACTGATATATACATGCATGTGAGCATTGTGTGTGTGTGTGTGTGTGTGTGTATATATATATATATATATACACACACACACACACATGTACATCATGCAACTATTACAAAAAGTTCAAATGCGCACTGATGCTCCAGAAGGAAACACGATGCATTAGGAGCCTGTAGGTGAAAACTTTTTGAATTTAAGGACCAGGGTAAATTTAAATTATTTTGTCTTCTGGAAAACATGCAAGTATCTTCTGTAGATTCTGAAGGGAAGTACTAAAAGGAAAAATATATTTGAAAAATATATATAAAAAAAAAAAAACAGCTGTGGATCACCCAGGTAACAATACAGTATTAAGAATCAAGCGTATGTAAACTTTTGAACGGGGTCATTTTTATAAATTCAGCTATTATTTTCTCTATATGAAAATGTCTTTTATGTGAAATATCTTATTCAGGTCAGTAATAAATAAAAAATAACATGCATATATATATATATATATATATATATTAAATAATAAGAACAGAATGTTGATATTTTCAGTGAGAAATAAAATAGCTCTCTGAGTCCTTGCTGTAATATTAAAACAGCCTTGCTGATTGGAAATGCGTTAAATAAATACATCTTAATTGAAGCTTAAATTTGTTAACAATTGCAGACTGACAGCTTCAGTTTAGCCATCATTACCATTTCCATTCAATCCTTTATAAACAACGGGGATTTTTTTCTAACTTTCTTTTAAACTATTAATACAAACATATGAGGCAGAAGAGCTATATTACAGGAAAACATCTGAATAGCCAGAAATACAACAAAGATGAAGCAAGCAGATGGTCCTTTCTCACTCACAGTCATTATTCAGACCGTAAAGCTGTGCATCACTCTCGGCCCACCCCTGCTCACATCTCCCCTGCTTTCTTCTTTAGCACTGACAGGATACAGTTTACATGTTTGTGGGACTTTTGTAGCCTGATGAAAAGATCCAGAAGGCGTTAACAAGCATCTCTGACTGAATGCGTGTGTTACAAGCAGAGGTCTGACACCCAACATAGAGGGGATGTACTGACAGGAACAGAGGCTACATTGTGGGCCCAGATCAGTAAGCAGCTTAGCGGTGTTCACAGAGGAGGGAGGAGACCCACTCCTGCCAACAAAGATGGCACAGAGGAGCCGCCACATCAAAAAGAGGAGAAAAGATAAATCCCTAAAAGTAAAAAAGAGGCCCTTTCAAAACACTCCTCCATCTGCATTGATAAATTACCTACATGTGAAATGCACAGTGCACACAACTTTCTCTTTCCAGCCTTCCTGCACTGATTGTTGTGTTATAACTTTCTAGAGATTTAAGAACCTTCCTTTTAAAGTCTCAGCCACTTGCAGTTCACACATGAACTAAGGTTCTCTTTCAATGCCCATTGAACGGAGACTTAGCATAAAGAAACAGGTGCAGCTTGACTCCATACAGCCACAACAAATCACGCAGACAAGGACCACACAGGGGAGGGGAGGCTATCGGCAGAGAGGGGGAAAAAGTGGCACTAACTAAATCCATTAAATCAATTCCTTTCAAAAGCTTTCTTGCCCATGTTAAGGCATTAAAACACCACTGAGTCAACGGTTTCCTGCTTTGGCCATCATCGAGCAGCGGGAAATCTCCAAACCTGGAGCAATATGAAAGGGAAGTATAATCCAGATTTGTTCTCAAAGCAGATCAACAGCTAAATGACGTCACCAAAGCAATTTGGTAACAAACAAACAAAAGCTGAACTTGAAAATTGAAGTTTACACCCCAACGCTCATATGCAACATTTGTTTCCGGGTGACAGAGCCAATTTGTTTTGCAATTTGAGAATGAATTAAAGTGTTTTCTCTGTTGGTCTGTACTGGTACTTGCCAAACAACTGCTCCTGATAAGCCATGGCTGAAAAGAGAGCTTTTTATCTAATAAGAGTGAAGGACTATAAGAAGTATAAATCATCCAAAAAAGCAATCTACAGCTTCAGCAAAGAATAATGTAAATTATTTGCAAAATAATGTGTTCTTTGTGATACAGTGATACATTAAAACCTTTCGAAAGAAAACCTTGTGTAGACATTCCTCCCACAGTCCAGCTGGTTGCTGAGAGAAGATTGCCTCTCCTGCCTGACTGGTACCTGTAAATATCTTCTTCCCAGTGCATTGTTATATTAGACAAGGAACCACAAAAAGCTTGTGTAGTAACAAAGAACCCTTAGTAAGAGAAGTCACTAGGCAACAAATTGAAATGTAATCATAAACTGCTACAGATTTAAAGGCAAACAGAACATGACCTGTCTAACAAACCAAGCATAGTCTTTACTGCTGACGTAACTGATTCATTAAATGTCAATGTTTGAGGCTTGATGTCTGTCAGTGTAACAGTAGAGTATCAACGGTAATGTTATAATGCTGTATCTTCCTCACCTGCCCTGCCTGGCTGCTTTCTCTCTCAGTGTGAGCAGCAACAACTGAATCTCTGCTTTTAGCAACTCTTTAACAGCTGGGGGGTCAGCCAGAGGGAACATGGGGGCTTCTGGCCTGTTGCCCTTCTCTGAGCAACGGAGCTCCTGCCAAATCTTCTCCCACATCTCCACCTAGAACAGGTCAGCAGAGGAAAGTGTTACAGGAGAATGCTGTTTGGCTCAGCTTTGTATGAAATGCACTTTCCAAATCCCTGTTACAAGCTGCTCTACAACTAGACAAATGAAGCCAGTTGGTTAACATCCCATCACAAGTGTCTCTAATCTCTGCTGAGTTGAAGAGAAATGTGGGTAAGAAGCTGGAAATTTCAGGGAAAATCCATGCGTTATTCTCACAAACGCCCCACACGACACAAGGTGAAAAGCCAGAGAGGGAAATGAAAGCTTGTCACGGCACTGGCAAACAATATCTGCACTCTATTACCAATCTCTACACCTGTCTTGGGACGTTCAAGTTTCCCTCGGACTCTGAAAATACACTTCAAAGCTTGTCGAAGGCAATGCAAGAGAGAGTAAAACCAGCTCCCTGATAATTCTGATCCTGCTGTGCCTGCATGAAACCAACTTTAAGCCTAAATAACACAGGCCAGCATCTTCTTATTTCCACTGCAGCTTCTGCAGAACCAGGTTTGATGTGCCCAGCCACCAGAGAGCCATTTCTGTGAGGATGCAGGATTAAAAATGTAAATGAGCTAATGCAAACTTTGATTCAAAAGAAAATTTTTCTTTTCTTGTTTATTGACTTTCATCTTTTTACTGAAGAAATGTTCTCAGGGATAAGCTCAGGGAGAGACAGGGAGGGAGGAAAATAGACAGAAATACAAGATTCTTAGGCGTGTTCCTTGTTTTGCGTCATATTAGTAGTTATAAACTTCACTGGCATTCAGAAGAGGCTGCACTGAGAAAAATGTAAAAACTGTTTACTGCCAGACTTACTGACAAGGTACGAACCCCTGGTACCCTTGGTTGCATTTGCTCAGACAATTCATTCTCATGATCACTATTATTATTTGCATACATATTCAAGGCATATAGTATGCCTTGCTATGTCAAAAAAATCTCAGAAATCCTTATCTGGTGTGTCCATGAACAGCAGAGGGGGTTTTAAACATAAGGTCATAAATCCTATCTAGTGTTCAGAAAAAGGAGGAATCACACACGTCTTCCATAGACAAGTTTCCACCCACTATTTCCATATGTACATCGCTGTCTGCATATAGTGATAGCCTATGCAGTTTGTAAAAGAAAATTTATCTTTGAAAGAGTCGTATCTGAAACAAGTAAGGTTTGCATTCCATGCACTTAGGCTCTGCGAGATAATGCACTCTTGGGAGCTGTAATTCAAAACCGGTTTAGAGTTACACATTGGTGCATATTAGCTTACTTGTTCATGGAGACTTTCTAATTCAGTGCATAAAATTACAAAACATAAATGCGTATGTGAATGCAGAGCACAAAATTGTATGGGCCGAACATTATCTAAACATTAAGCAAAGGTTTCAAAAGTCTTTCAAACACAAATGTTTAAAAGAAGTATATTTTATTAGGTTGTCCTTCCCCCCTACCACACCTAATCTAACTTAAATAAATAAATAAAAATATGTAGCCACCACCTCAAGGGATGTTTCCACTTGCCTTTCAAAAGGAAAATATAAGTACTGTATTAAACATCAAATGACATGGATTATGTGATTTGCCAAATGAGCAAAATGATTTGCAAAATGTGATTTTATGATTTTCCAAATGTTTGTTTCAATTCCAACATCCAGATGTATGCTGATGACACAGTAGTTTTTGTACATGCTAATAGTGCAGCTCAAGCTGCTGATCAGCTAACAAATTCAGTGTTAAAGATCACGGAATGGCTAAAACATAATTGCTTACAACTAAATGTATAGAAAACTGCATGTATGTTTTTCAATAAAACTAAAAGTTGCCGTGCAGAGTCAGATGTAGTCATAGATGGGGAGAGACTACAAGTTGTCTCAGATTTTAAATATCTGGGTGTATATATTGATAGCAATCTTACTTTTAAAATGCACATCAAGAAGGTTTGCAATCACATTAAGTTCAACTTGGCAAATTTTAGATATGTCCGTAGCTGCATGTCAACTAAGGCTGCGAAGATGCTTATGCATTCAATGATCTTCTAAGTTTCACTTAAAGAATTGGTTAATTGAGAGTCAGCATTGTAAACATTTTATAAACTAAACTCTGCTGCTGTCTTGTCTTTTCTGCTCTACTATTTTGAGATTTTCATGCTAGGTATATGAGGTTGTTTGGTTTAGTACTGATTGAATGATTAGGGCTACTGTTACTTGTCTGTATGCTAACATTATCTTTGCCTGTATATTGATATTATGATATTATTGATACATTGTTTGTCATTTTGTTTGACAGTTGGATTGTGTGTGTATGAGTGAGCTGGTATTGATTTGTCGGTTCTATGTATAGTATAACTTTTAAGCGGATGTTTTTTTTAGGAATAGTGTGAATGTTAAATGTATTTTGGAGTATGTAAGTATTATGTATTGATTAACTCTTTATATTTTTTTTAGGGTGACAATTTTACCATCAGTCCAGGGACTTCAGATTCAAAATATGTATTATTGATGTGCATTGTCCCTGTCAAATAAACCTGAAATGAATAAATGAATGTAGACTGGACCTTGAATATATATATAATTTGTTTATTTGTTTTTATGCCTACCATATACGTACTAAAGTACTTCTGTTGTGTCTTGCTAGACAGTCTGATGCATAAATATGATTTACCTCTGAATATAACTCTGTGTACGAATCAATCAGTGCTTCTCCAAGTACAGCTCGGATCTCAGGAAGCTCAGTGCAGGGAACATTTTCCTTCACTACATTCCACACAGATTGTTGGCGTTGGAAATTGTCCATGAGGCAGCTATTTCCTGAGCTGAGCACAAAAAGCTCATCACAGGCGTGCATTCGGTGTCATATATAAATAAATATAATCCTACATACATTTTTAAAAAATCATACAGCATTCAAATGCTCCGATACACCGTACGAAGGGAAAGAGCATAATAAATAAACATAATTCGTAAACAATTATGACCTGATTAATGAGATTTTGCAATAAAACTTTAAACTAATATTTGGTTGCTTTAAACGTTTAGAATAATGAAACAATGGTGATCTGAGTAAGATTTAAAATGGCATACATTTGTGCAAGCATATACAATAGTTTTACAACAAGCACATTCACCACGGGCAGACACTCACCAGAACAATCGTACCTTCCAACATCAGGGTAAACATTCCTGTTCCTATGGAGACAAGCTCGCGCACTCAAATGATTGGCTGCAGGACTCGTGATAGTGATCTTTATTAACCCATTCAGACCCACTATATTACACATGTACATCACTTTTTTCTTTCTTTCCAGTGATTGAATTCTATTAACATGCAATATTTGTTGGAGCTTTAAGTCTTAATATTGCGCAATAACTTAAAAAAAGTGTTTCATAATATATAATAGCCTATGGAAGTTTTCTTGAAATACGAACAAATTCATAAGTATAATTATACAGATGTTCAAAACACGTGTCCATTGCGATTGACAGGACTATTAAAAATACTATCATTTTTTCTTTCTTTTATTATTTATTACCATTAAAGAAATAAAGCATATAGGCCTATTTGGTGTTTCTGGAACACGGTGGTCTGAATGTCTGAATTCCCCCTGTCTAATAGCAAAAAGATGGGGAAAAAATGAACAGTGTTAAATGGCATAATATTATGGTTTTATACTTTTTTCTCAATAGACACACAAAGCTGCAATGAAAACGAATGCCTCATAAACTACACCCTATCAATATTCTGGAATTCGGTTGTCACGTGTAAATTGAAACATAACCCACGAGGCGTAAAACTTTCTTATGCTCAACAGCCTCCAAAGCGCGCACAGTCCATTCTGACCATGAAGCGAATTTTAAACTTTATGTAATTTAGTTAAACAGACGCGTGCAATAGCAAGTTTTTGAAAATAACAGTAGGCTAATTCCTATTTATGCTGCATTTGCAAGTCTTGGTTTGGGACTGAGAAGTTTTTGGTGATGGGCATGGCTGTACTCTGGGGCTTCCCGGTGAATTTTCTTCATGTCTGGCTTACCCTTGTGATCTGCGGCCAGTGTGCTTTGGCTTTTTCGGTCGCTGGACAACAGGAGACAACATGTGAGGCGAACGGCAGCGTTTATTATGAGGGCGAATGGTATTTTTTAGACTCAGATCATTGCACCCAGTGCGAATGTACAGCAGAAGGGTCTGCTTGCGCGCGGACTGAGTGCACATCCCTGCCTGCCGCCTGCATCCATGTCAGCCATTACCCGACAGACTGCTGCCCGAGATGCGAGAAGATCGGCTGCGAGTACGGGGGAGAAGTCTACGAACTGGGCCAACAATTTCAGGTAAAGTTTCTGTAAAGGGTCTGCATACAAGGGCCACCAAAAGAGAGAAAAATATTTTTTTACATTTCTAAGTGGGCTTTATGTCCTCTTGCTTTATATATGACTTTTTAATTGCTCTCCTAAATAATTTAACTTAACTGTCTGCCGCATTGCTTGCAGTTAAACACCTGTAATAAATTAATGTTGATGTGAAATGTAACATAACAGTGACAAAATAAAACTACTTATTCTGGAAATAGCTAATGCTTTTTATGATTTGAAGATACATCGTAATTTATTGTCTTGCATTAATCTATAAGGTTTCAGTTGTGTAATGTTTTCCCTAGGCGGAGACATTGTTTCAAGTTTTTGGTATTGGTCCCAAAGGGACAGTAAAAAATATTTAGCGCCATCACGTGGTTAATGATAAAATTAATTACGTCTCAATTTGTGATGCAGATTTTCTGACTTGAGTGAGACTTTTTGGGCAGGTTACATCTTAACGCCAGTAGGTGGCAACACGTGATTGTGTAATGAGTGAGAGTGTCATTAAATAGTTCACTGAATCGATTCGTTAAAACACTGAATCAACCACAACAGGCCTTTTTATATTTTAATTAAATTAATCTTCATAAACAAGGATCTGCTGAGTAAATCTGCATGCAAATTTGGAGTCTCGCCGACTCTCTTTCACTTTCAAAACAGCACATAGTTCAGTAGGTACAGTTCTGTAACGCAATTTAAAAGAGAGAATGATTTGTTCATGAAAAAGATTCAAAATAGCACTGCAGTGATATTTGTTCATAGGAAGCTTCTATTGAGGTCTAAGTACACTGAGTAATTTTCAACAGCAAAACTAATCTTTTCTTGTCAAGTTGTTGACTATTTGTTACTTGCAATCCACATGACAATTGGGTGACAATTAATTCAAACGATACAAACATACTATAAACAAAAACTTTACCATGGTAAGCAAATAAATAGATAGGCTACATAAAGACTAAGATTCCAATTATAGGTTGAATGTACCTTTTTTAAGTCGGAACAAAAGCAGCTCTTTACTTCTGAAACACAATTGTTTCATTTGATCCAATTCCTTCCATACCCTTTCATGAACGTATTTATTCATTGTCTTAGTTAACGCTAATAAAGTAGGATTCTTTTGTTCTGAGGCAAGGTGAACATTGGGCTGAAATCACAAAGGGCAATTTAATACTCTGTTTGAGGAACTGAAGAATGAAATATCTCTGGTGGCACAGGCTTGGATGAAGCAGGGCTTATATGTGCTTCATTATCTCCCTGATTTGGTTATTATGGCTAATAGGGAATCCCTGAGGGGAAAATTGAAGCCTTCTGAGAGACTCCAAGGAATACACTTTGCCTGAGCTGACATCATTTTCTTCCAGTCCATTTAACCCAACCTTCAGTACTGAGCCACAAGTGGTAATGCAGCTCCTACTTAAACAGCAGTGTGGGAGTGGAATTTGATCACATTCTTCACATTGTAGGGCATTAAAACGTAGTGTTGGATTGGCACATCATCAAATAACGGTATATGCCAGCAAGCAATTTGATAGTCCTGCTGGTTCTGTTTAAAAAACTGTTTGAAGGAATAGAGTAATACACGTCTTTTGATGGAATTGCATCATATGATAACCTACTTTCAACTGATGATTTGCATTTGATTTATAGCCGTCAGCATGTGAGCAGTGCACCTGTCACAGCGACGGCATCGCCCGCTATCAGGTAGCAGACTGTGCCCCTCCACCATGTGTTAATCCAGTCTATCAGACAGGGAAATGCTGCCCTCAGTGCAAGGATGGTAAGTTTTTCAGAACTGAAAAAGAAAACTGCCATATTTGTAAGGCTTATTACACTTCTGTGTACTGTAATTGCCCAAGTTTTGACTCATGCAGTATGACATTCTCATAGCCTCAACACATACATAGAGGATACAATTGTGTTTGGTCTCCGGTAATGATTCTGAATGCAATATCTTTATATAATTCATTCAATAACAGATGGGACGGTTCCGATGCCGGGTCATGTGCTAGGCCAGTTTCTGCACCTGAAATAAGATAAGGCTTCTAATGAGTTGAGCTTCAGCCGTATTGTTTTCTCTGTATACTGTGAAGTATGACGGTAATTACAGTGTTTACCGAGAGCAAATATAAGGCAGGCATGTAGGCAGCCAGAACAACACACATAAATCAAAGCATGTACTTCACCAATGTGATAAATGGTCAGCTCCTCAAATGATGTTGCATTTTTATTGATAAAAATTGCCTCTGTGGGGGAAAATGTTAAATTAAGTTTTCTGTTAATCTAAAGTAACTTCCAAATTAAAGTAAAACCTTATCTTAAAAGTTAAACACTCTAAAAAGGCAATGTGCCAGTATCTACACTCCAAGGCTTCCTAATTAGTGGCGCTTGCTGAGGTTTTTCAAAAACTCCTGACCTTAAGTATTTAAATTCTGCGCATAACTTGTCCAGCACAGTTTGTGCTACTGACATGAATGACACCGCAAGTTGTGCAGATTTTTGAGCAGTGTTCTGTTACTTTTCTAAGCATCCTGAATTTAGAGTTTGGCAATTCGGATGATAAAACAAAAGAGAAAAGATCCAGAATTATATAGACTTGAGAGGCTTTTCTTACTTGGACTAGTAAGCAACCACTTAGCAACACCCAGAACACCATTGCAACACAGTAAGAAAAAGCTTAAAACCACCTAAGCAATTGCATAGCAACACTGTAGTACAGTGGTTCTTGAAACTCCTTGAATCACAAAAATAATTGTAGTTAAATAATATCATTAGACCCGCTGTCTCTCTATATTAAGATGGGATAGGAAAAAATATTTTAACTGAAAAAATGACACACTTCACCTTTAACTACAGACAATGGGCCTCATTAATCATCTCTCTCTCTTTGTGGCTCCAGGGCCCAACTGTTACGTGAATGCCTCTAGGACCCAAGTGATCCCTGGAGGAGAGCCAGTGTGGGTCGACTCCTGTACCAAATGTCGATGTCATGACGGTCAGGATGCAGGTTATTGGGAAGGCAACCGCTTAGCAACGTGTTCCCATGTGCGCAACTGCCAGCCTGACGAGGGGCTAAACTGAGGAAAGAGGTCAAAAATAGGGTCATCTGACGTCCTTATTTATACAATGGATGACAAAATTCAGCAGATATTTAAACCACACTTGTGGAAGAAAGTGTGGAGGCTATTTTAATCATATAAAGCCTACAAGCTTAAACAGTCTATTATTATTCTTATGATAACTAAGCATTTAACATCCATTCGTTAAAGTAAATTGAGTTGGTAAAAATAGTTTTGACTTACTAAGGGATATTCCCTAATGAAATGGATAATAGAGCTTAGTTTTGAGACACCTTTTTGGGCATGGTTATAAATAGCACAGTGAGCATATTAGCATCTACAGTACAATTGTGTTTAGATAAATGTTGACATTGGGCTCTGTGTAGTGCACACTTGCACCTGCAGATAGGGATGGGTGTATCGATCCTGAAATATCGATACTGATGCCAGTATCGAAAGTATTGATACTCAAATAAAAAATAATGATACTAAGGTGTTTTATTTACCAGTGATTTTGTTTATTTAACAAAGACATTAATGCATACAACATGCATTGAATTGGACGAATACCTAGTGTTAGTTAATAATTGTGTAGAACAGAACTATTTTCCTGCTCATCTGAACACACGCAAATGTTGCAAGACAGAACCAATCAATCACAGGGAGCGTTCACTCACTTCTGACAGTGCATTCAAACAGGGCTGCGTTTCAAAAGTATCATAAGAAACCATTGATGCTTTTGGGAATGGCAGCCCAGAA